CAATGTTGATTTCGTACATGTCTTGGGCAGCTTTTGTTCCATCTCTTCATTAGCTTATGTTTCAAATATTATTTTGTGTAGTTTGATGAAAAAAAGCAAACAGCTAAATAATTTAAGACGAATCATGCCATACGACACATGGTCTATACTAATGAGACACCAGTTGTACTCAAGATAGCCTTGTGGACGTAGCATATTATACTAGGTATAACGTTAAAGCTAACAAACAATCCGGTTTAATAGGACTATAAGTATAAACATCATTCAATTACATAAAGTAAATGTTTCCAATCAACAATACAACAAAGAACCTTTGTGAGAATGGATAATATACGTGCTTTATTGACTACCAAGGAGAATGGACTAACACTCGCTGTATCTGAAAAAAGCGGCATTGTTTCCGCATATACACGGCGTAACTGTTTACTTAAAAATTTAACCTGTTGTTTTGTCCTCCGCCGCGATAAAGACAAAATTCTGGATCTTTCGTTTGGGAGAATCGGAGCAATAGATTGTTTTGAAGGTCATTAATAGCCCTAGGCAAATAGCCCAGCCCGGCAGAAATGAACGGCTCTTTGGTAGACCAAGGCCATTCGTCGAAGCCGAATGAGAGGTAGCGCCTTCCTTGTCAAGGTACAGAACTGAGTTTTGGAAGCGTTGTTGCAAGTAGTGGTAATCTTCAGATCTTTCGTCAGAGGAAGTCGCTGCTAGTCTCTTCTCTACATGTCATCAGCAGAGATCGGCTTTGCACCATGAGCTCCTGCATGTTGGGTACCATCATCAGCAAAGCTGTGGATTGGATTGATCGTACAGAATAGGAGGATGTGAAATAGAAACCCTGTTGGAACCAAGACCGATCCCTGCGGAACACTTGCAATGACATTGTGTGATAAAGACCAGAACCCTTCTATGTATCTAATACTTAGTTATACCTGCGTATGTATAAAATAAACAACAGAAAAATGTACATTTAATATCAAGGTGAAAACAGCAAAAATTCCGAAGCTTACCTAGTAGTTACCCATATGCTAAGTCAGACGATTGTTGGAGGATTTCATAATACCAAAGGAATGCCATGGCCAAGATGAGCATATTCAAATTAGACGTAAAGCTTTCATGTAGGATGTTATGACTAATGTGCAGCCTATTAATCACACAGATAATGGTCAAGACATATTCAATGACCATTCCATTAAGCAAGCAAGTAATGATACGGAGGTCAACGATTTGAAAGAAAAAATCGAATTGGTCAAAACAACTGCTATGCACGTGATATGATGGTTCAACCAGTTTGCCACTGAAGTGGGGTTTGTTATTGGTATCGTTGTTATGATTCGATCTTTTTTGGTGAAAGATTCCATGTTTATACATTGAGAAAACATGAGATACCTCAGCACACTTTAGTGTTATGTATTATAATCTCTAGGTAGTCTTGATTCCCAAAGAGACAAAAATGGTTCGAGCGCATTTGAAGGGAATGTTTATGCCACTCCAAGGACAAAGCTTTAATAACTGTTTCCCACTACCTACCATGTCTGGCAGTATACAATGTTGTATTTCCCCATAGTTTGCAAAAGTTAGCAAAAACCTGCACTACATTTTGTCTAGCAGTACTTCAAGGTTCATAAGCCTATCTAAAGAATACTCATATAAAGACGTAAAGCTAGAAATAGCGATCCGTTCAATTCCCTGTAAATATCTAAACAACAAAAATGACAGACATCTGTTGCATCAAATGAAATTTCGTAATTTTTTTATAGATTTATATTAGGATATTCGAACATGTCCAACACACAACACAACGGATGATGCAGATGCTCGCCAATTTTGCTGTCAAACATTAGTGCCGTATGATATACCACATATTTTAAGTTTAACAGTCAGCCTAGGTAAAAGTATTACAAGCAAAATTTTGATTTCACGGCCAGTTAATTGTTTAAGGAATCAACCTAGAAGTGTAGGTAATAATTTGCATTCATTTTCATACTTTGCTTTTCAGTTTCTTAAAGGTTCTCGCATAGATAGACCACTGGGCGACGTCATTAATTTTTTTACGCCCAGCCCTTGGTATGTGATCGGATAGTTGCCACAGGTTAGAGTTTCTTAGAAACTCTTTATATGTTTTTTAAGCACAAGCTGCATCAGTTTCAAAAATATAAGAGAGTAATCTATACGACTCAAAAAAATTGAGAGAGTAAGTAAAAAGTCCAAATTGTTATCTTTAACAAGCTGTATTTTGGTGAAACACGGTCGTATCTAGACTAGAAAAAAAGCATTTTGAAGCTTAAAGATTCTTGTAAAAATGCCGTGTATTTTCCATGCTAAAGGCAAAAAGGAACTCTTTTGACTCTTTTAAGATCAATACTAAGGAAACAAAGAAAACTCCTCAGAGATTGCAATATAATCTTATAGGAGATTTATTCCAGTTCTTGGAAATACCATTACATTCTGTGTGCGATCACTTGTTACCGAGTTATCAGTGGTTGATGACAAAAGGCTCCTTTTTCATTCTTAGAAAGATATCTCTGCGCCAAATAATCGTATTAGAATTTAAAAAACAGAACATTGAAGCTGGATTAACGAGCTATCTGGTCCATCTGATGGCCTAACTTAAAAAACATTTTTCAAGCTGATGACTAAAAAGTTTTGCAAAAAAATGTCTTGCTCTGTCTGTTAGAATTGCTTGATAACCGTTGCTCCTAAATTTTTTTCTCTCAAAAACATGTAAACGAGAACGTTATACCTTCAAAATGCTTTCTTAAGAGTCTAAATATGGTTTTTACCGAAATACGGTCTGTCAAAGATCACCGAAAAATTTGGATTCTTTCCTTGCACCCTTAACTTTTTTGGATAGTGTATCGTCTGGAGGGTCGGGTAGCAACAGCTATGCTGAATGACGTAAGCTGCAGCGTCAGCGTAGCTAGAGGCTGCCCTCAGGGTGGAGTTATGTCACCCCTACTGTGGTGTATCGTGGTGAACGAACTCCTCGTGAGGCTCAGCAGTATGGGTGTCTCCGTGCAAGCTTATGCTGATGACGTAAGCATAGTAGTTAGGGGGCGTTTTTGTAGAACAGTCTCGGAAATGATGCAGGGCGCTCTGCGCTCTGTGGAATCGTGGTGTAGGGAAGTCGATCTTTCTGTTAATGCTGAAAAGACCGAGCTGATCCTATTCACTAGGAGAAGAAGGCTTGACGGGCTGGTCATGCCAACCTTTTTTGGGACGAGTCTAGTATTGTCCCAGTCAGTGAAATATCTGGGAATTATCCTGGATTGCAAACTGAACCGGAGAGAGCATGTTGAATACAAGGTTAGCAAGGCTCGCAATTCGATGTGGGTCTGTAGACGAGCTGTCGGTGTAAGGTGGGGGCTAAAACCCAAAGTGGGGTATACTGGCTCTACACGACGATAGTACGTCCATCTCTCTTGTACGGCTCCCTGGTCTGGTAGCCTTGCATTAGAACTGAGACAACTCAGGCCAAACTCAATAAAATTCAGCGTTTGGCCTGTATTAGTATTACAAGCGCACCGCGAACAACGCCATTGAGTGCAATGGAAGCTCTGTTGGATCTCCCACCGTTGGATCTGGTGATCCGCGGTGAAGCGAGAGTAGTCGCTCATCGACTGCGGAGTCAGGGCCGCTGGGCTTTCTTGAATCCTGTCAAGGGGCATACTGTCATCTTAGTCGACGTGCAAAAGGAGGACCCTGTCCTTCTAAGCAGGGGTGGTCGTGTTACCCCTAAATATCGCTTCAACAGCAAGTTTATTGTGGAGTATCCAACGAGGGAGGAGTGGGACGCCGGTTGCCGGGGACTCTCCGGAGTGAGCGGGCAGGTCTAGTACATGGACGGCTCGGTCACCGAAGAGGGCTCAAGTGCTGGGGTCTCTGGGCCTAGAACTAGGCTATCTCTGCCTCTCGGTGGATACACGACTATTTTCCGGGCGGAAATCTTTGCGATTCTGGCTTGTGTATCTCACATTCTGGAGGAGGGTGGGCCTAGGAGAAGAATAACAATCTTATCCGACAGCCAGGCTGCAATGAAAGCACTAAGTGCCTGTAAGATTACTTCGAGTCTTGTATTGCAATGCAGGGAGGCTCTGGATTGCCTCGCAGCGAGACATCCGGTATCATTAATATGGGTACCTGGGCACGGTGGGATAAGGGGCAATGAGACGGCGGACACTCTGGCGAAGACAGGATCAGCCAGCAAGCTCGTTGGTCCTGAGCCAGCTCTAGGAATGTCCGTGTATAAAGCTAGGAGGAAAATGGAGACGTGGATTGCAAGACAACACTCTCAGAAATGGAGAAGTGTCTCCAGACATCTCCGCCAGGCACGGGAACTCATTGAAGGATCTCTGGATAGAGCCAACTTAAGGTTGCTGGTGGGACTCTTGTCTGGCCATAACACGTTAAGACGTCACCTGCACGTGATGGGGGTGGCTGAGGATCCCTTGTGTGAACGCTGCTGGGTAGAGGAAGAGACCTCGGCGCACGTTTTGTGTCGCTGTGAAGCTCTGAGCTACTATAGGCAGACTATACTGGGGTCCATTACTTTGGACCCTCGGGACGTCAAGGAGCTTGGACTCAAGGCGATTCTCAACTTCGCTAAAAGGGCGAGGCTTGTGATCTAAGGACTGTAGAAGTGCATAAGGGCCCGCTTAAGCGGCCTATGCACTGGCTCCTTATGGTGGCCGGAATGCCTCTAATTTCAAGATTCATTCATTCATTCATCGTCTATCAAAAATTCAGTTCTATGAAAATGGGACACTGAATTACATTTTACTGTCGCTTTTCTTGTTATGAAATCTTTGCAAACATTAATTGCGTAGATTACTGCCCAGATATTGTGTGGGAGTGTGCAGGGCAACGTAATATCAAGGAATGCTGAACCATTAAAGATGAAAGATCTTAATTTAACTTTGAGGTCAGTGAGTCAGACGTACCGCTTGTGCTGCCTTTTTTATAAGTAGGTCAGAGTACTGAGTTGATGCAAATCGACTTACCTTTCCATTGATAACGGCCTGAACTGTGATGACATTAGCACTCCTGTGACACTCCAAAACTTCCCCAGGTATCCAATGGCCCACCCCTGGATCAAACCAGATCAAATCACCTGGATTCCACTCCATTCTGGATCAGAACACTAAACACTAACACTTTCACTTAGTCATCTCGAGGTAACCTGAAATAAGAGAAACGTAATATTAGAATCAATTTACACATACGTTAAGTTAGTAGATTTCCACTTATCCACTATTTCGATATATTGGGCACTCAGGCTCGCAAGGAATTGAGGTTAACATGAAGATACGTATAAATGGTATATTTGGAAGGCAATTTAAAGAATATTACAAAAAATGCTTCTTCATGGTCCATAAATACAAATCTGTAGTTTATGTTAATAGAAGAAAACTAAACTCATCGTATATCTAGCGGTACGATTTACTTGGGAGAGCGAGCGTATTCTTGAACAATGTGTCATATAAATACCTACATGCCTGCATAATCCAGAAGGTGTAATATATAATATTCTGTCGCTGAGAATTTACTGCCGTTATATCATACGTATTTCCTCATGACTTTGTATGTAACAACGTATTTCAATGGAAATATATTTCAAAGTAACTAAGTCGAGGAACCTGGATTCGGTTTGAAAGAAGTCAGGAAGTAAGACATTTGTTTGTGTTCAGAATCTAAAGTTGTGCTTATGAGCATGCTATACCAAGAAAATATGTTACAATGATTTTTCATATTAAGTTTCCCTTGGGAGATTGGTATGCCAATGTAAGCTTGTTTTTTCCAAATATGTATCTTGCAAAACGAGTTGTTTTTCTTTTTTCTATGCCGCAAATAATCTGTTCTTTAGAGACATGTATGCATACCAAGACAATTTCATTAGAAAATCAAAACGAAGTATGTAAGCAGGTTAAAGGAGTGAACGAGTAGCTCGCAAGGTCATGATCTTTAGTCAGAACCATAACTAGACATGATAAGTTCAACATCTGTTGAGCTTAGAAAAACATGGGTGTAACTATAAACACATTCTTAATCTGGTACTATATAATTTAGCAGATACGCATCAGCAAAAACAAAAACTTGATTTTCTAACATTGAGTATGTTTTCCTATACCACAGAGAGCTTCATTCGCGAATATCTTGTTATTCTTTTTCTTTTGTGGCATTAAACTTCTGCTGGATCTTTTTGTCAACTCTACATCCATTATTTAGTACTTTGAACAAACTTTAACTTCTGTCATTCAAGTTAGCGTATCTTATTTTTATTTTCTATTCCAACAAATGCCGCAGCGACTCCCGAAACACATCTAGCTTTAATATAGATGATTTGACATAATGTCAATCAAGCACGGGTTTCAATCCTTTCCATTTTACTAAAAGGTTTCACACCTTATATATACATTTAAGCCTAGTCAACAGTTCGAAATATAGTGAACTATCCATAGTATTGGTTAAATTAATATCCATCATGGTTACACACACGAAATAAGCATTCTTAAAAGATCAAGCCTTGTGTCATGCAAGTATTACTTCGATCCTCAAGGACGGTCCTGTGTAAAAACAAGTGAAGTGGGTTTAAGCGGAATGCGGTGACATTCTAACGTAACTGCATAATCATAAAGGAAATTCGGAATATGTGACAAGTCTTCCTAGATAACAGAGATACAGAATGTGTGCACCTGCTTACTTCCACGTCGGTATGTATGCGTCATAATGTTATCCTTAGGTGTTTTCAGCACCAACAACCTGTGGAACAATGATCAGATTTGATAATAAGGTGTAAAAACCAACAGATTATGGCCCACAGATTTTTTAAATGTAAATTTGTATATTTTCCTATTGGACGTAACATTCTTGTGTCACCACTAACATATCTGTTTCTCTTTATGAAGACAATAACTTTTGATATCCATATTCATTAGGAATAGGTGTTTTTGTGTGTGGATCAGTCACGATCCCCCACTATTGTGGATCACCCCAGTAGCTCCGACCTCCTAAGGAAGTTGATCAGATTATTTGGAGACTGATCTTTCAGGCCCTCTACTTGGAGAAATACTCCAATCTGTAATGACAGGTATACATGCCTACTAAATGTTGTTAATCTCTCCCAGTGTTAATGGACCTTTTCTTTTACCTCTCTAGAGTTTATTAATTTGTTTAGCCGATTTGTACGCCATTCCGATCGCTGGGCCAGAGCCTATAAAGGGTATGCTAACCACATGCTTTGCCAGACTGTTGGGTGTTTCGTTTCCCTTCAGACCTGTGTCTCTTGGTATCCATACAAGACGGACATTATTTCCAACCCGAATCTTACCAGGAGCTTCTTTACAATTTCACACCACGTTCGATGTAGAGCAGGAGAAGTGTAGTTTTTTCAGATTAGCTTGGATGTTTGAAAGAATATTTATAATCTTGCGTCTCAGTTGCCATCTTTTAATTTCAAGCTTTATGTTAAATTTCCCCTATATACAGAGTCTTCTGCTCATGTCCCTCGTCTTACTTCCGTTTAGGTCCCTTTTTTACTCTTTCTTTTCATTATTACTATCCTAAAGCATGCAGCTTGTTACCTCCGACACTAGATAACTTAGGTTTCACAGAGATCATGGCTATCCTCTATATCTAACCAGTGCTGTGATGCCAGTTAGACTCTGTTTGGGTCCTTGACCGTGTGAACTAACAAGAAAAGCCAAATATTTATACGTACGACTATGTGAAGATATTTCTAAGCTAACACATGTATTTAGTGTTAGACAAGCCTGTTTCAAGTATTTATTCGGCACGTCAGTTTCGATTTATTTCTTTAGTTAAATGTCATGGAACATTAATGCGCCTCTTATTTGATATTTTATTTTTACAATAATGTAACCCGAGACTTGCGTCATTGAGACTTCTTGCACTGCGTGTAGGATTGGCCACAAAACATTATATGCTTAACCATTAAGAATCAGAAGGATTTTATTGAGGGATAGATAGTGGTTATGCTCATAGATGCTAGTTCCTAAACAGGCAAGTTCAAACACTTTTTATTGTTGATGTCTATTACTGATAGTAAAGATAAAGTTTTGCTATGTAGCTCAAATGATTAAACTTTCAGACAACATAAAACATCCATTTCTGGCTTCAAATGCAAAAGTTAAATTTATATATTAGCCATTTTTCCGTACCAAACTGTTTTTCCCTTACTAACTCTTGCCGAGAGCTTTATGTGACATGCAAAGCCAGTATAAGTGCCATATAATGTGACAATGTTGTATGCACTGAACATTCCTTACTAATTAATCTTTAAGGTTGAAATCTAACTGTATTGTAATAGGTATTCAAACTTAATATAACCCGACGTTTTCCTTTCTACGCCTACTGGCGAGGAACTATTGTAATCGCGAAACAACTTAAAAATGAGATACTAGGTTTTTTTGTCCGCCAATCCTTGGCCCGTCTATAACTTGGACAGTACCATTTGGATGTTGATTAAATTTTCACACGAGATAACTGCTACGCCAAGAACGAATGAGCTCTATAGTTTTTGAATTAGATCCAGTGGTGGTGACGTGAAGGGTAAAAAAAAGATATCTCAAAGTTTGTTTATTGACATTTCAGAAGCTCACTTTTAGAAAAAAATTGGTTGGGTTAAAAATCGGGGGTTGGGCGATGTAGAGGGTTGGGAGAACACCTTATTCTTTGGTTGCAGTATATTTATGCACTTCCAGCACCGGTAATCTTACGCACCTATTAGTACTATTCAACCTTCATGCGCCAGACTTTTTGTGCATCTGCGTCCTCGATCTTGAGCCATAGTATTGTGGCTGGCGCTTATGACATGGTTGATTGGTATGGTTCAGCACTGTTGCCAGATGATCGGTAGTTAAGGCAGGTAAGGAACTAGAGTTAGTGTTATTAAGGGGACTATGGAAAAACTGACCTATTTGACTGACTTGATCGATTGAATTAATTTGTTAAGCATGTTTGCAGCTAGCCGAACGTAATCCTTAATGAACTGATGACAGCGTTGCGTGGGAAGTGCAGAGTCAATCTACTTGGCGCCATTTTCTCATTATTATCATTATTAACCTATGTAGATGTCCATCTAATTTGGTATTATGCAGTAATTATGCATACTAGTTCCGCTTTATTATTTACAATGTAAGACTTCTCACGTAGAAAGGCGCAAACAGCCAATAGCTCGGAACAAATTGTGGTGTGCATCATCACTAGGTTAATTTGGCATTGTCTAGTAGTTGTAGTAGGTACTCATAATAATCTGTAATTTACATATCATTACCATCAGGCAATCTCGGTTTCCTGGAAATTCCGAAAGTAAAGCTGACCTGCGGTGGAACCGCCTATTTAAATTCTCTTGAAAGTAGTCAACAACGATTCTTAATCGACTCAGCTTGTAAAAATATTTATTAGTATTCAAGGCGGTCACAGAAGAGTAATACTTTTTCCTCCTAGGCACGGTTTACTTTCTTCAAATGATATACTGAAGGCTGGGACATATAAATAGAATTGTGAATAGGAAGAATGATTCTTCGATCGGGGGCTGCCTTATTGCACATACTAAATGCAAGGTTTCCTTGCTTCACTGTTTTAGGCACGGACGGATTCGAATGGTTTAGAACTGATGGCAAAATGTGAAATTTTCAAGAATTAATGGCAAATGTGTCCGATGTAACTTGAACTTTTGAGGACTGGAGACACAGGTTCTCAATTATTAATTTGATACCGGCACGGGTATTACCTATCCTGAAAAGCGACATTAGGTCGGCTTTTTTGAAATAACGAAGGTTTTTTTGACATAGCGTAGATCTTTTTATAAGACGTTAACTTAGCACCAGCTGATGGACACTTGCTGTGAACTGGTTTTGTAGTTGAACGTGCTGCCTAAACGTCATAATGCTTCAGTTATCAATGTTTGGCTTTGACATGATGTAACATCTGCTTCATAAATGGCATTATTGGAGGTCTAAGCTGTAAGTTGTATACTATAGATGGAGGGAAACGACAGTGCAAAGGTGCATAGTGAAGAGTTGTGTGTTAATAATATGTGTTGATGATAATTCCATTGATTTCTTGTCTAGAATACACTTACTTGGGATCCAAAGCTAGAAATTAGTTGCGCATCCACTTTCTCTTATTGATGACTCGAGTAAGATATAAAAATTCACT